TCTTAAATAGAAGTTAGTAGAGTACAAAAATCTGACCAATGAGAAAGATGCTTTATAAAATGAAACTGCAGCGTCTGAGTTGAAGGCAACTGGACTTCTTATTAAGTTCCTGAAGACATTTCATTTTTCATCCAAAAAACTTTCTCAGTTCTAAAAAGTGATGGTGAGTTTCAGATGGACACATATGGCGTCATTTACCATTATCTCAAAAAGCATCTGTGTCTTCTAACCAAAATGTGAGCCTTTTTACCTTCAAAACAATGATGTGAATATGTACATCTGTGCTGATGAGCTGGGCCTCCTATGTTGTACTATGCATCTGCAGAGTGGGCGCTCCTATGTAAAGGTCTGGGCACTCCTCACTCAATTGCACAGCACACACAGTTCAGTTTGTTTTTATGTGTTTTGTCATTAGGATGAAATAGTTTTTGTCCGAGGGTGTTTCCGGGTCACAGAGTACCAGCATGCTACGCTTGAAGAACACTCTTCTGTTTCTCCCATGAACTTGCAACATAAATTACAACAATGTTTTTTTTGTTTGTTTTGTTTGTTTGTTTTCCTGAATCTCTTTAGTGTGTGTGTATGTATGTATTAACTTGTCTTTTATTTCAATTTTTGTTTTGTACTTTTTATTGCTTTAAAATATAATAGGCCAACATAGATTTGTTTTATCTTTTTTTTCTCTTTTGTGTTCAGCAAATTCAGTCATGTAATCATGTAAGCATAATAAACTTTATTTATAACTTTATTTATTTATTTAAGCAAATGTACTATATGAATCAACTCAGCCATTGCCATCGCATCTAAAGCATGCAATGTATCTAAAGGATGCTGAGGATACTTCTGAGGAGGTGAGACTAACCTCTGCTTTTGTTCTTTTTTTCAGTGTCAACACCTCTTAATATTCACTTTAACTGACAATTGACTTTCTGCAGCACCAAGATTTTTTCACTGGGCTTATAGGTGACATTTTTAAAAAGTAGGTCTTCAGACAGTATGGATCAGTGCTGCGGTTTTCTGAAGATCTTTTCAGCGTGTTGAGCTGTGAATCTATTGCAGGAGTATGAGAAATGGGTAACAGATAAATCATCCGTGTTCAAAAATATAATATATATATATATTTTTTTTTAATCAACATTTAAGGTGTGCGCAATACAAACACAGCAGCAATACATCCATACAAAGAACTGCCACACAATACAAAACCAGCAATGCACCTGATACAGACCTTACTCCTCCCACCCAGGAACAAAATGCAAAGGAGAAAAAAGAGAATGAGAGGGAGAGTCGTGTGGGTGTGCCAACAGTTGAATAGGGAGGACTTTGGCTTCACAACCACAGTGCTAGTATTATGTTTCGCTGCCTCAGAGATCAGCTTTCGCATTCAGGAAAGGTAAGAGCAAAACACGATGAGATATAGAAGAACTAGGTATGACTCAACATTATTTTTTAGATATTTCTGCTCTTGATCTGCTTTCCTTTGTACCAGACAGATAACATACTGTATACTAATATCTGAAGCTGTCAGTTTTTACCTCCTAATGGAATATGTTATACTGAAAGGTTTCCACATCCAAATTACAATGGTTGGAAAAGAAGGAGCCTGTTAGTATGTCTGTTCAGTGTCTCAGGCCCTTTTTTAAAGTTAAGCTTAAAGAGGAAGTGAAAGGCTGAACTATGTCACCATGCAGCTGGACTTTGTCCAGTGAACTGCTTTGAATTGTTTCAAACCATTGATAAGGAGGTTTGTGCGTCTGGCTCTATTCCAAGTACTTACAGAGCCGACAATAAGAGAAATGCCTTGAAAAATGACCTTGATCTACGTTTGAGGTCATTTGTTAGCCTTGTAAATGTCCCAGTGTTACCAATAATGACTTTCTCAGTGACTCAGAAAGTAAATGATTAATGTTTTCTAAGCTCTCTCCTCTCTAATGTTCTTTCTTTAGCTCTGAGGCGATGGCTTCCAATAGCTTTCGTCTGTCAGAGGTGCAGTTTCAGTGTTCCATCTGCCAAGATGTTTTCTCAGAGCCCGTCTCCATCCCCTGCGGTCACAGCTTCTGCTTCACCTGCATCACAACACACTGGGACGTTAGCCGTGCAATTAGCTGCCCCAAATGTCTCACAGTCTTTGAAGGCCGCCCTGAGCTTTGTGAAAACTCTTTTGCGAAGGAAATTTCAGAGCAGATCCGAGCGAGAAGGCAGAACGGCGTGATTGCAGCGACAGAAAAAGTCATCTATTGCGATGTGTGCACAGGAACGAAAACTGAGGCACAGAAATCATGCCTCACGTGTCTGACTTCGTACTGCGAGATGCACCTGGAGCCTCACCTGAGAGTTGCCACCTTGAGGATTCACAAGCTGATTGAACCTGTGGCAATGCTGCAGAACAGGATGTGTAAAGAGCACCGAAGGCTTTTGGAGCTGTTCTGCAGAAGTGACCAGAGGTGTGTTTGTGTGCTGTGCACCGAAACCGACCACCGCTCTCACAAAACGGTCCCAGTGGAACGAGAAAGCCAAGAGAGGAAGGTATGAACTCCTCCGCAGCACTGAACTCTTGTTAAATTAAATGCTAAACTAAACTCTGGAATAAGACTGTAACTATTTAAAGGTTCTGTCCTCGTTTTAACATTTAGGCGCAGATGAAGAGGATCGAGGGTGATGTTCAGCAAATGATCCAGGACAGACTGCAGAAAGTGGAGGAGATTAAACGATGTGTGGAGCTCAGCAAAGTGAGTTAACATAAGAGCATAGAATATCTGGGTGTTTAAGCCTCTCAGGCTGTGATTAAAGCACCTAGAAACTGGCACCATTCCATAACAATGGACCGTGAGCTCAGTTTCATCATCATTAATATGCAAATTGTCGTGACCACTGATTAATCAGCACATTGTAAGACAGTTAGGCCCTTTCTCAGTTCAGTTCTCAGATGGTCCCCCTGTCTCCCACTTGGCATTCCTCCCTGTCCAGGGTGTGAAATCTCCTGGACATTGTTAGGCAATGGTGCTGGTTTCGGTCATTATGTAAGTTCCCTGAGACTGATGAACTCACTTAAATGAGTGACAACACTGAAAACACAATGTTCAGATGGACACAGTCAACTGTCTGGGTTCTGTATTGTTCTGCTTGGAAGCCACATGTGTTCAAATTGATCTACTGCTGAACCTTTTGCTGCCCTGAGGAAAAATGTGTTTTTGTTTGTATTTGCTTAATGCCCTCTATAGGTAAATTCAAAGAGAGACATAGAGAAAAGCGTGCAGGTTTTCTCCGCTCTCATTCGTACCATGGAGAGAAATCAAGCCGAGCTGGTGGAGATGATCCAGAGGAGGCAGGTGGCAGCGGAGCAGAGGGCAGACAGGCTCGTTGCAGAACTGGAGCTGGAAATCACTGAACTGCAGAGGAGAAGAAGTGAAATGGAGCAGCTTTTTCACACAGATGACCACCTCCATCTCATACAGGTTAGGAATTTAGTTTATTTTCCAGAAGGTGGGGAGGTAGACAGAAAAAACACATGGGAAGTGGCTCCAATTCAGTGGGAGATGGATCATTTGTCATTGTTTTGCTGTTATTGTATCCAGTTACAAAAAGCAGGATTTTTTTTAAGTCATCCTACTTTGTATTTTAAATCGTTGCTTTTAAAGTAAGTTTTCTCTTCTTTGTGTCAGAGGTTTCCAGCTCTGAGTTCTCCTCCATCGTCCAAATCCTGCTCTGAAATCATCGTCCATGCAGACACCAGTTTGGGGATATTACGCAGAGCAGTGGTCAACATTGTGCAGCAGCTGCAATCGGAGCTGAAAAAACTTTCCATTCAAGGTTCATATCTATTCAGCTTTTTTTATGTATTTGTTTGTTGTCAACATCATTATATTAAATGACTGAACAGCTGCTTTCAAACAACATCGCAATCAAAGATCACACATGGGTGGAGTATTTTTGACCGTATGTTCTGATCTTTTTGCAGAGCATGAGAAGATTCAGCAGTATGCAGGTAAGAGTGTTCACTGTTAACTGTCATGAAAGGGAACATTTATATTTCCTGCTTTGACAAAACAGAAAACCACACAAAAATATTTTCTTATTATAAATAAGAGGCTAATAAAGTCCCGCTGTGTCTTCCTACCAGCTGATGTTCAGCTGGACCCCAGGACAGCCAACCCTTGGCTGGTTTTATCAGAGGATGGGAGGCAGGTCTGGGATGGAGAGGCTGAACAAAACGTGGCCGACATACCAGAGCGTTTTGACACGGCGCCATGTGTCCTCGCCCTCAAGGTAATTAAAGATGTAGCGGGTTCCCCTTTAAACATTTTGTCTTTTTGTTGCTCTCTGTGATACACGGAAAAATGGGCAGTCAGTGATGTGTAGCTCTCTCCTTAAACAGGGATTCACCACAGGAAGGCACTACTGGGAGGTGGATGTCGGAGACAAGACAGCGTGGGATCTAGGTGTAGCTAAAGAATCAGTCAACAGGAAAGGTTTGATCACACTGTGTCCAGAAGATGGTTATTGGACTATCTGTTTGAGGAAGGGCAGTGAGTACCGGGCATGTGCTGGACAGGCAGAGCTGTTGTGCCTCGCTCAGAGACCACATGTCGTTGGGGTGTTTTTGGATTATGAGGAAGGCAGGGTGTCGTTTTACGACGCAGAGACCCAGTCACACATCTATTCTTTCAAATGCGTCCGATTCACCGACGCCATGCTTCCCCTTTTTAACCCTGACATGAGTGACAACGGCAGCAACAAATCACCACTTATCATCCGCCTAGTCAGTGGAATTGATGAAGGCAAGGACTTAGATGACATCACTATATGATGTACGTCGGTCTGGGTTTGTTTGTGTTTTTTTGCATTAAACTGTTCCTTGTTTTGTAATGCATGAAGATATTTTTAAACATTTAAAAACTGCATGCAAATTCTAAAGTTAGTATTACATTTTTGAATGAAACTGTTCATAAAAAATACTCCTTTCTCAATAAATACCTCAAACTCTACTTGCTTTGCTTAGCAACTGTAAAATAATGATTTCTACATATAGGATATATTGTATTCTGGCTTGTATACTAGAGAATTCATCCTTTTACTTCTATCAGCTGTCACATCATCAATAAACACTAGTGACTGTACATGTCCAAGCCATAACACTGGTCCCACCACATGCTTCTGATCCTCAACTGTTTCTTTCCTTCTCCACACGTTTCTCCTCCCATCATCCTGATACAAGTTCGTCTTGGTTTCATCTGTTTTCTGGCCTTCCCGTTCATGAGTGTTACAGCTCTTGTTCTTGTAAATCCTTGTATTTAAAACGACACTGAAAATCTATAGCATACAAATGCAACACAATGAATCGTCTTCATATGTCCTTTTCATTTGTACAATAAACCATCAGGCCATGAAACTGCTTGTCAGTCAATTTATTCTTAGCCTCTGAAAATACTGTAATAAAAGTGACCTTGAGTAGAAAAGCACATGAGAACCATACTCGTGTTTTTCAATCAGCTGCTGTTATCTGTTGTATATGCTTACAGCCTCCACCCACGTATTTATTATCTGCTTCCCTTGTGTTTCAGTAAACAGATCTGAGACCTGTTTCACTCTAATAACAGCTCTCCTCAGTCATTATAACCTAACTACAAACTGATTTCAGAGCACATCTTAATCTACAATCTGATGCTCGCTAATCAGATTATCATGGAAATAGGATTAGCATCCACGCATGTGGAACACTGCTTCAAGATTGGACCAGGACTACTATATACTAATGTTTCTCACTGAATTACATCTATGCACGGAAATATATTAACATAGATCTAAAGTAGAAAGCATCTCTCTGTGAAGACTAAGCTAACAGAGGTTGGGAAGGAACGAAAGAAGAAAGTCTTAAGAGGGATTAAACCTGGACAGGACGGACAGACATAAATCCTGCCTGGTTGTGCTGGACACCGGGCTCAAGCAGGAAACACCACACAATTCTCACACGGTGAGTTAAACAGCTCTTATTAGGAAAGCTTTCAGTGTTGAAGTCTGAATTCTTTAAAATAAACTGTTAGCTTTTCTGGGCATTGAGCACATTACAGTTTAAAGTAGTCACTTTGGAATATCTTTAAAAGCAGTTAGACTGTAGAGACCCTACAATTATTCTCTCTCTGTTTTTAATTGTTGTAAGCTGTTTAGTGTAGTTACCATAGTGAAACTTTAAAACGTGTCATATTTGCAGTATTAAGGTATTTCGTCTTCAGCAAGTCAACCTCAGTTGAACCAAATTCAGGTTTTGTAACGCAGAAGGTTTCTGAGAAGATGAGTCTGTGACGAGTGCTGTAATGTCGCCGGTGGTGGACGAGACAGCTGGGGACCTCCCAGTGAGGGATGTGGGCCTGATGAGAGGGGGACTGATGCCAACTGTCCCAGGTTGGTTTGTACTGATGTGTGTTTTTGTCTGTCCTTAAAAACACAACTTGAAGAAAATAAACCAAAACCTTGAAGTACAAGCATCAAAGAGATAATGCCAATGAAAGTTACAATCTAAGTCTCAGTTTATTAATAATGAGCAGGGTTTAGGCAATAAATAAACTGTAAATCATTAGGAATAACTCTGCAAATATCGCCTCATTGCCATCTTCTCAGATACTCTACGGGATGTCAAGTCCTGGAAGAAGCATCATGTCATGAGGACAAAAGGTAAAAGCACTCCAGGTTTTTATAGTCTGTATGGAAGTCGCACAACAGAATCTTCAGTTTTCATGTCTGTGTGTGCTTTCTCTGTGTTTCCATCTCCCTGTCCAGCAGACCCTCAGCGCCTTTTTCGATTTCCCAGAGAGCACCTGGAGGACCTGTGCCTCCGACTGCAGGAGGAGAACAGTGTGCTAAAACAGCACACACGCACCCAGGACCAGAGACTACGCAGGTAACACACACACAAAAAACACTTTTTGTACCTGATTCCATACATTTGAACAACGTGGAGCATATTAATGAAAATTTATTTACTGGCAATAAGATGAAAGTAATATTGAAACTCCAAAGAGAGATTAAGGAGTGCCTTTTGCACTTTTTAAAGGCACTTACTGAACACGTGTCAGCCAAACTGTGGCCAATTAAACCTCTCTGCTTTGCCTCAGTATGTCTGCTAGGCTAATGCGTCTTCGTCAGACCAGTCCTGGCTCCAGTGGTGTTAAGGAGAGGGACATGGAGGACACAATACAGGAGCTGGAAGCCCGAGTGGCAATGCTGGAGAGCCAGAAAGGAGTGCTGCAGAACAAACTCAGCCTGGCCAAGCAGCACATTATGGACCTGGGAGCTCGCACACCCTACAAATTCAGTAAAGGTGGCTGCAACAGCAACAACAACAAGAATAGAGGCCGCAGTGATTCCCTCTTAAATCTCTTTATTTTCCTTCCCTGGTCTTCGTGTTGTTAGGTAAAAATCTGGACGGAGACGGTGGAATGAGGAGGGCAGCCCAGACTGCACCACCTCGATATGGCCCTACACTGGAAGACACCAGGGCAGAGATGGAGAGGTTGTAAGTGTCCCATGTGTGATGTGCTAAATGACCAAATGATCCATTAGCTACAGCAGATCATCCTTTAGCGTGACATGACTGACCACACTCTTGCGTAGCTGAAGTAAATCACATGACGCACATTAATAAGCGACAAGAAAAACATCTGCGCTAAAAGCCTCTGAATCTCACTGTGTCTTTCCCACCCAGCAGGTCCACTATGACAGAACAGGTGAGGGTGGCAGAGCTGGAACTAACTGCCCAGGCGCTCAGAGACTCACTGAGAGAGAAAGAGAAAGAGATTGAGGGGACCTTTCGAGAGATGAGGAAGCAACAGGCCGACAGACACCGGTAGCTACAGCAGAGACATCACAGAGACAATAATGAAACAATTAAATAAAACAGGATAATTGATGTTACTGCATTTTTTGAAAGGCTTTTTAGGGGATATTTATGTTCACTGTGAGAATAACTGTGAATGCTCAGCATGACAGCATCCTAGTTTGACTTAATTTGCTTGAGCCGTTTGTAGCAAGAACATCAAATGGCAGCATTGTAGAGCTAAGTGCCTTTGTGCATGATACAGCATGTATCCTCTCAGCATATCATACAATAATCTCACACGTTGTATCACGGCTGTTCACTTGAATTGAGTTGAGCCCTTTGTGCTCACTTTCACACTCTACCAGACAAGCTTTGCACAGTTCACCAGTGAGTGAATCAGCTGATTTAAAATAAGTCTTGTTTATGTTTTACTGGGCTTCGGCACAGCCTGTCCGTTCAACCCACTCACTGTCTGAAAGCTCACTGTGTGTCGTAGCTCCTCAGTCTCCCTTTTTGAACTTTCTTCTTATTGGCTGCAAATTGCAAACAGAAGGTGTGAGCAAACACCAGGGTTGTTCCCTCTCTTTGTCATCAACAAAAACTGAAAAAGCAAAAACAGAGCTGTCTGAGATGAAGCCTTGTTTAAAGCGTTCATCGTGTTTGAGCATCCACTGATGTAACGGTGAGGACAGAAAAGACAGAAAATAAACCTGTGATCTTAAACTTTAAACACAAACATAAGCAAACACTTGCATTTTTGCTTCTTTTTTTTAAAAAAGAACATAAGTAAATTCATCCATGAAATATGTCCAAAATGATTTGTCTCTACCAGAATAACTATCAGGGAGAATGTGGATTTAATCCGTCTGCAAAAGCAGCTTTCAGAAAAGAGCGCTGCCCTGAGAGTTACACAGGAGAAATTCACCAACCTGCAAGAGGTCAGAAACACTGTCTGTCAAACATTTCTTTTCTTATGTCACAGGAACTTCTTTTTTCAGCTTACTAGACATTTTGCTTTTCTTCTAGGCGTATGAGAATCAGCTAGAAGAGGTAAAGGTCTCAGCACACTGATAAAGTTCAGCTGATGTTTCAGGTAAGTAAAATTTGAAAAAGCGCTAATCGTACTTTTGACTGCCGTGTTTTTATATCAGACTCAGAGATCAATGAGGGAAAGTCAGGGAGCTCTGCTGGGGAAAGCTGAGGAACTGACCGAACAACTGAAACAGGAAAGACAAAAAGCTCTGGAACTAGAGGGACAGCTTACCAACACGACCCTGTCTCTGCAGACCCTCGACAAGGTACGCTACCTCATCTGCAGGAACAAATCTAAGAGAGAACCTCAAAGATGACAGAAGGATGTCTATGGGTCATTACCAAAAATCTGGAGATCATATAATATATAATTTCTCTATCAGCTGCAGGAGAGGATATCAGACCTGGAAGGAGAGAGGGACCTGATTAAAAGAAACTATGACACACTGCTAGAAAGGTAAAAGAGTATGTGCTTCAAGACCAAAGAAAGTTATTAATTCCAATATAAACCACAAAACATCACCTGTTGTTTCAGTGGTTATTTAAACCTTCTTTTTCACCCTTTTTTCAGTACTTTATCTTCTCAAAGCACCCATGATCACCAGGTGGAAAAACAGAAAGAAGTGCTCCAGACAAGCGAGAAGCTCGGGGGAAATATCAGCAGGATGGAGGAAATGCTGCTGGCAGAGCAGGAAGACAGGCGCAGGCTGGAAGTAGAGAAGGAGAAACTGAGACGAGAGAAGGAGATACTGGAGGAGCAGATGGAGCAAGAAAGAGGTCTCTTCATTTCTCGGCATGTGCTCGTCCAAAGCAAACAGGTTGTGTAATAACAACCCCGTTTGTTCATTTCTGTTGTTACATTTAGAGCTTTCCTTGTCTATGAGAGACAGACAAGAGCAGCTGGAACAGGAGGTGCTCCGGTACAAGGAGCAGGTCTCTGCTCTGCAGGACAGGCTGGACTC